AGCGAGGATGTTTCCATCCTTACCACACAACCAAATAGCATGTCAGCTAAGCATTGGGCCACCTAAGAAAGAATGGTGCAGGAAAAAAAAAAAACAAAGCTTAGAAAATCCGTAGGACATTCATGCAGCCCTGCACAGGTTACAAAGCTCTTCACTCGCCAATTCATTCAACTACATTCGCACACATATATGCTTCTTGATCACTACAGTAAGTCTTTAAAGAAAGTGGAGAAGTGATTTTTTTTTTTTTTTGAAACAGAGTCTCACTATGTCACCCTGGGTAGAGTGCTATGACGTCACAGCTCACAACAACCTGAAATTCTTGGGCTTAAGGGATTCTCTTGCCTCAGTCTCCCAAGTAGCTGGGACTACAGGTGCCGCCACAATGCCCGGCTATTCTTTCTTTTTTCTTTTCTTTTTTTTGCAGTTGTCTTTGTTGTTTTAGCTGACCTGGGCCAGGTTTGAATCCACCAGCCTCGGTGTATATGGCCAGCGCCCTACCCACTGAGCTACAGGGTGAGGTAATGGGGACCACAAAAAAATAACGCTAACATCACTAAACTAATGAGAAGCAGAACTGAATCTGCCACCCTGGCCTCCTGCAGGCCTGTCCACAGCTTTGTCTGCTAATCGTGTTCTTTCTGGGGCCTTTTAAACAAGATATTTTAAATACTAAATTGAAATTTAAAACCTCCTAGGTACACTTAACATGTCTACTGATGTTTAATCTGTGTGCACATCGTCCCCGAGCTCACGCTCACATGAATGGCTCAAGCACCAACTTCCTGTAATTGAAACATATTCAGGCACAAGGAAAACACTGGCCTGTGTCCCACAGAGGGCCTGCCAGGGTTTCAGAGTGGAGGGGCTCTAAGGACTCCCGGGGATGATGCTTTTCCAGGGTCTTCTTTCTACTCCCAGGCCCGGGATTGTCCTGGGATTGTAAAAGGCCTCCTGCTGGGACAAGGAACAGAATCCAGGAGTATCCAGACGTCTGGCTTTGTCCTAGGAGAGGGTCTCTCCACCTCCACTCTGCTGACATCTGGGACCTGGTCATTCTTTATCACTGGACTGTCCCATGCTCCATCGGATGTCCAGCAACTTGGCCTTGGCCCACTAGGTCCCACTAGCTCTCTCCACCCAACTTGTGATAATCAAAATGTTCCCAGACATTGGCAAATGTCTCCTTGGGGTGCAAAATCGTCCCAGTTAGAAGCCTTGTGGAGGCCTGGGTGCCTGGTCTTCCTGGTCACTGTCCTCTGGCAGACACCCTGTCTCCCTGGAATTCCTGATTTCCTCTGAAGAAGATCCAGGCTATGCAGACCGTGCCCGACAGCACAGGCCAGGTTGGTACTGACCACCCCTCCCCCTAGGAGTGCTGTGAGTGCCCCAGAGACCGTGACGTGCATGTTACAGGGGACTCTAACTTCATCACCACAATAACCCTGTGAGTCAAGTACTGTCATCCCATGACTTTGTTTATGAAGAAACTGAGGTTTAGCACCTACCTAGGCAGTGTGCAGTGACAGCTCTTTGGGGATACATTCAGCAGAGGTTCAAGATGTGGAGACATGGACCTCAACCCTGTGGCCCAGGTTTTCACTGGGACTGTCCTAAACGTGAGCATGGAACCTGTGTCTGTGACTGTGTGTTGGCCATATAGGTGGCAGTGAGGCCAGGTGTGTCACCCTGTCTCTCTGTGGGTGCATGAGAACCAGCATGGGCTGGTGGGCTCTCCTGGGAGAGTTGACGGGAGGGTCAGGCCGTTCTTGGTGCCCCAAAATCAAACATATCACTGCAAGTCTCGACTGTGTGCAGTAATGTACTTTCCTGTCGTACTTTACTCAGACTAGTATCTTTCCTGAGCAATGTCATCAATGTCAAGATCTGGAGACAAGCAGGTCCTGCATGAGCATATACTCCGAGAGCTTTAACAGGCAGTTTTCTTAGGAAATCCAAGACTGCAGCAGGAGAAGTGTGTTCTGTAGTAATGGGGAGGTCTTTTAAAGCAGTGAGTCCGCCTGAGACTGTCACCCCTGAAGGACTGAAATCCCAGTGGCATAAATCCAGGCAGAGGCGCCCCTGGAGCTGAGGAGCGAACCTGCCTCCAGGTGGGAACCTGGGGACCTGCCCTGGACATTGGCCACACCATGCAGTGCAGACTGGCTGCTCCTCTGTCTCCTGATTCCTGAGGCCCCTGCACTTAGCTTAAGTGGAAAGTTCTGGACTCGTTATTTATAGTCTCGGAAAAGAAGCCCAATGAGGTAGAATTTCCATATTTCTAGGAAACAGATGGGTCCCAGAGCTGCTGCCTCCCACAGAGACCTCAAGAAATATTTAGCTGCAGGTGATTTAAAGTTTCTTGCTGCTCTGCCAGATCCGCACGTGACTGTCCCAGGGTCTTGTCTTCAAGGACCAGAAGCCATTGACCAGTGCATGGACCAGAAGCTGTTGACCAGCGCATGGACCATAACCTTTTGTGCCCAAGGGTTTTGCACCTGGCATATTCGGTGGCATTATTTTTCTTCTTCACTTGCAGGGAACCCAGGGTATAATCAAAGTCAGAGGCTCACATGTTGAGCCTGATGGAGAGCACTTAACACTGGCTCCTGGCAGTGCCCCGGGGCTGTAGCAATGCTGCCCGCATCACAAGGGAAGGAGTGTGGAGGTGGGGAGAGTGGGGAGGAAAGGCTTTCCCCTCTCTCTGGGGAGGCTCCAGGAAGTGCCATCAAGGAAGCAAAAGATGTTTTGTCCTAACTCTGAGGTCCTACCCTGTGCCCAGGCTCCAGTGGCTGTGGCACTGATGGTTTTCCTACCATGCCACCAGGCCAGTGTCTTTACAGATCTGCCCAGGGAGAAGGAGCCAAAAGAACGACCCTAGAACCGCAGAATCCACAAGTCCCTGGATTTCAGTAGGGCCGGAGGCCTCCGCCCTCCCCCAAGGCCCACCAGTTCTGAGCCTTGCAGGGGACATCCTCTGCCTCTGCCTCTGGCACACCTGGAGGGCAGGACAGAATTCTTTTCCTGCACCCTGGAGACAAGAAACCCCGGGGCTGCCTGAGGGGTCTAGGGCAACAGAGCCACTGTGCCCAGGCCTTGGGGGGACATGGGGGGAAAAAAACCCAACTCTGTCAAAGCAGAGGTACCACCTGTTGAGTCCAGCTCCTGTTCAGTGTTGCCCTCCCTTCCTGCCACCCCCCCTAGTGTGGGAGGGAGCAGCTGGGGTGACCTGCAGCTGCAGAGTGGCAGGAAAGCAGAAAGGAACCAGTGGGGCCAGACACAGGAGCAAGAATACCTGTACAAGGGTGACAGAGGACGCCTGCATGAGGACCAAGCTGGCAGTGACATCTCAGCTGCCAGTGTGGACAAAGGACCACTGAGGACCTCCGCATGCCACCAGTGCTGTGGACTCCCCAGAATTCTAGGGAAGGGGGGCCTCTGAACTGACTGAGGAGCCTGGAAGGAGAATTTAAGCTGAGTTGTTTTTAGTGTTGTGCCTATGGCCCTGCTGAGCTCGGGGACTGCAATTTATGTTCCCACCTCCCACCCAGTTCCCACCCTCCCAAACTGAATCTACTACTTAAAAGAGTGTGTTTCTGTCTGAACTTGGACCATTAGAAGGCTCCAAGCAAAGGTGCAGTCCATTTTATTACCAAGGGGCACGCAGTTGGGCCATGGTTCCCCAGCTGCGTGTTGCCATCGGTTCACTCTCCCTTCCTCTTGGTGTCTTTGCTGATTGTGCTGTGTCGCACTCTCTACGGGGCTATGACCTTGCCAGAACCCAGAATTTGAGGCAAGACCCACGGATGTCTATCAAGTAGACATTTCAAGTGAGTTACAACCCTGGGTTCAAGGTCTAGGTCATAAAAACCTTTGCAGGAAACAGGAAGCTCCTGTGGTAGCCTTGGTCTATGAGCCCCTGGGGACCGCTGGGACCACCCTCCGCCCTCCCTCTCACCCCTGTGAGCCCGTGGGCATCTCCCCACACACAGGGTGATTTCTCACTCTGCAGTAGCTGCGGCAAATAGCTCCCTAAGCAGATAGGCCTGCTCAGCAGTGGGTGGGGGTCACAGCCTGCCCAGGCCACCTTGCTGCTGAGATCCCTGTGGTTCCTACAGCCCCATGTAGAGGTGGGCAGGGCACAGCAAGAGCCGGCCATTCTGAGAGTCCATTTTCAATAGCAGTAGGCTCAAGAGGGAAGTCACACTCTGCGTGGCCTCAAGACAGGATTGGTGTCATTTAAATCAAAAGTTCAAGTATCGCTCTGGAGGTGTTTTTCTTAGCACAGAGATTTAAGGGGCTGTGTGACACATGGCCCTGGAAGCACACGAGTGGTACAGATGAGGAGGTAACTCCTGGACCCCAAACCCCCCAGGGCAGAGAGCAGTGGCATCCTCCTGCAACAGCCCCTCTCTGTAATGCACCTACCAACCAGCTCCCCACCCAACCCAGGACTGCCTGAATTGAAAAAAAAAAAAAAAAAAAACAGAATACCTTGCTGGGTGCAGTGGCTTATACCTATAATCTGAACACTCTGGAAGGCTGAGATGGATGGACTGCTTGAGCTCAGGAGTTCCAGACCTTGAACTTGCTTGAGCAAGAGTGAGACTCCATCTCTACTAAAAATAGAAAAATTAGCTGGGCACTGTGACAGGTTTCTGAGGCTGAGACAAGAGGATCCCTTGAGCCCGAGTTTAAGGTTAATGTGAGCTATGATGATGACATGGCACTCTACCCCAGGGCAACAGAGTGAGACTGTTTCAAAAAAAATAAATAAAAATAAAAATTTAAAAAAAGAAAAAGCAAAGCACCCAAGGTGCTCAAATATTTTGTCTTCTTAGATCATTTCACCCAAGCTAACCTCCTGTGCTCTGCCACTGATAGCTCATTTCCTGACCCGCTCTCCCCACGGGCCTGCGTGTGCCACACGTGTCCATTCGTCATGATCACACACGCTTCCCAAATGCCAAATGTGCTTCTAAAACTGACACTCAAATGCATTTTTAGGAAACAAAAATCTTTATTAAAAAAAATAACTTACAAATTGAGAGAACTCTGTGAAATACAACTGTTCCTTTTGTGCACAGATTTGCAGGTCAGAACAGTTTTTATTGTTTCTTTTTTTTTTTTAATGTAACTTTATAATACTATTAATGTCACAAACTGCATTACAGAGCAGTTTTTGTTCCATATCCCACACTGGTACAAAACACCACACAGATATAAAACTATGGTCAATAAAACATTTCAGCCAAGACTGGCATATATTTATATATTTATATATATTTTTATATATATATTTATATAATTTCCAAACAGCTAACAATTAATGTCATCCTTAGTCAAAACTGAAGTCAAACTAATTTTAAAACTACAACACTCTGAATATATGTCAGCACTATATACCTCCCATACAATATTTAAAATATATTTTAACTTTCAAATACATTTATAAGGTACACCAATAATGAGAAAATAAAGTCTTAAAATTTAAATACAAATCGCCATATAAAACAAATTCCGGGAACACAGGAGGTCTTATGTTACAGGAGTCCAGGCGAGCCTGTGCTGCAGCTGGTGAAGACACACAGTGGGGCTGCAAAACACTGTCCTGCCCGCTGTACAATTGTCAGCACGTGCAGCCGAGGGTCAGCTGTATCGGCACAAAAGAGAGAGAAAAGATGCCCCGTGGTGCCACGTCCTCCCTTCTTCACGCTGCTCAGGCATCAAGACCCAACGGTCGTGTGCTTTACTGTAGAACCGCGCAGCAGGCCGGATGACCCATCCAAAATAAGCACGCGCGTCCCAGAGCCCTGCAGGGGCATCATTTGGTGCTCTGCTCCAAAGCAGAGTATTCTGTTTCAGAGACCCGGGAGGCGTCGATGAGCTTGGTGAGGCCTGTCTTGGCCGAGTACTTGAAGATGAAGGCCTTCATCAGCTCGTACCTGTAGTTGCGATTGATGAAGCTGTAGAGCACGGGGTTGACGCAGCAGTGCACCAGGGACAGACACTGCGTGACGTGCAGGGCCGTGAAGAGGCCGTGCTCCAGCTGGCAGGTGAAGGGGATGTAGTGCAGGATGGAGAAGATGTCCAGCAGCACCGCCACGTGGTAGGGCAGCCAGCACACCAGGAAGACCACCACGTAGGAGAAGATGATCTTGCGGCTGCTGTGCTTCTCCTGGTCGCCGGACGCCGAGATGGCCCTGGCGAGCAGGAAGTAGAAGATGGCAATGATGGAGAAGGGGACGGCAAAGCCCAGGACGATGGAGACCAGCTCCATGCCGATCAGCCACTCCTTGATGCTGTGCTCGGGGTAGAAGGATCGGCAGTAGGTCTCGTTGTTGGAAGCAGACGTGACGGTCTTCAGGTAGTAGGTGTCGGGCAGGGACACGCAGAAGGCCAGCAGCCACACCAGCACGCAGACGACGCGGCGGACGGCCTTCTTCCTGCTGCTGGAGGTGTTGCTGAAGTAGGTGATGGAGAGGTATCGGTCCACGCTCATGCAGGCGAGGAAGAAGATGCTGCCAAAGAGGTTGATGGAGAAGATGAGGTGCGTGACCTTGCAGGTGAGCTCACCCATGGGCCACTGGTTGTGCTGCACCAGGCTGACCACCCAGACCGGGATGGTGATGACCACCCACAGGTCTGCGATAGCCAGGTTCAGGATGTAGCAGTGCGTGTCGTAGCCAGTGGTCTTGGCCTGGACGTTCACCCAGACCACCACGGAGTTGGCGATCATGCCGATCACGAAGATGAAGATGTAGAGGAAGGACAGCGTGTACAGCAGGACGCTCTTGTTGGGCATGGCCGGGCACAGCACCGTGTCCACAGCGATGCAGTCGCTGCTGTTGCAGGGCCAGGTGATGTCGGAGAAGTTCCCCGACTCTGGGTAGTCGAAGAGATGCAGATCCATGGTTCCTGGGGGAGTGGCCAGACAACTACAGGAAAAGGAGAGAGAACTCGCGTTTAGACAAAATGCGTTCCCAGCACCCTGACCTGCCCAGCACCCTGACCTGCCCACACCCTGACCTGCCCAGCACCCTGACCTGCCCAGCACCCTGACCTGCTCAGCTGTTTCGCTTTATCTCTACAGTGTCTTTGCAAAGAAAGGAGAAAACAACTGTGACAGAATTCTCCACAACAAAATAAGACTCTGCAAAATCTAAACCCAAGAGCAGAGCAGTGTTTGCTTCCTGTGTCGATTTTCCATGGCTGTTTTCTCAAGATGTCATTAGC